ACTCTCGTCTATCATCTCACTGCTGCCATCTCGACTATCCTATAAATTAGCTGCTCTGCAACTCCGAGATTTATTTCTGGAGAATGTTCTTCGCGGGACTAATTTAAGAATGTGGACCAATGGTTAATAAACAATTTCTATAAACACTATAATTGGCAATTATTAATTGTTTTTTTTAACAACTTGCCTGTAACGCTGTGTGATTTAATATACAATGTAATTGATTTTTCAATATTCACACATACATTTAATTAAATGACAATGTTGGTAACAGTAAGTAAATTATATAAGATACGTGATAATTTTGTTTATAAATAAAACATAGGTTTAGAAGAAATGTGCCAGGGCATAGCCTATTCCTACTGGGTTGATTCCTGGATATTGATTGAATATATAAAACGAAACACGTTATAAGTTCTGTTTTATAAGAATATATAGCCTACAATATATATACAAATTAATAAAACATATAACTTCCATCACTAGCTATTTGTTTATATGTTTTGTGGCAATATCACAGGAAATTTAAAATAATGTGTAAATATGTGGCCATAGGATTTTTACCCCAAAATTAAATAATCATAGTACTGGGTTAAATAAATCCGATACAAAAATATAAAAATACAGTTTTTAAACATAATAATAATATTATTTTTATTAGTGTAACAGACTTTCAATAACTAATATCAATTCAATGCATTTGTGCATCCATTAAGATATAATTTACATTGTTAAATAATAATATACTAGATAATTATGCTTAATAGTAATTTTATTAAATTATAGAATAAATTAATAATTTCATTTTAAAAATAAAATGTATTTAGAAAATTAATATTTTTGTATTTATCTCTTGATTTCTTTATTGACACTGCCGCAGAACAAGTCACCATAATCGCCAATTAACCTAGCTTTCACATCAGCTTTAATCTATTGTATTATGCACAAATTGATGCGTTATTAATAAATCAAGTAACAAAAATAATAACAAAATACTTACATCAGTTGGTGTAGAGTCGGGTATTGTTAGTCTGTACGTGAATTTCTTAGTTTCACCAGTTTTGATTGGACAGGGAGTATCACGACAACCATCGGAGTCAAAGCCAAGGATCAGTGTAGAAAAGTCTAGATCCAAACCACCTTCTAAAATAGCATGTAGATCCCATGCGGCTTTGGTAGAATCTTGGTCTAATTTAATATTATTAATATACTTATATTAAATATTAAATATTTAACCAAATCCATTTATTACAATATATGTTTATTCTTAAGTAAAATTAATTATGATATCACTGATGGTATTTTGTTTATATTTAGTTGGAAGCTGATATTAAAGCACGTCTAATTGGTAACCATGATGACTTGTTTTGCGGAACGGTCCATGGTTAAATCTAGAAATAATACCACCATTATACGCGATGTTGGCTACTTCCAAAAATCATATCAATAAATATTAATTGGATTAACTTTAAATAAGTAAAATTAATTTATTGCATTATAGGCTATCATTTATAGCTCTGAAAACTTAATACCAAAAATTAAACTTGTGTAATTATTGAGAATTTAGTTTATTTTAAAATTTAAATTAATATAACATATCCTGTTCAATTTTATGCCAATTAAATATTTAATCACATTTTATACATACTACAATAGAGAATGTTAGTTTTGTTTACAGTTTATACTACAATTTAAGTATTTAAAATTTATTGCATTATATAACATTTTTTATTTAGTACACAGTTTTTATACAAGGGGTGCACTTATATTCGGATATAAAGGTGCACTGGTTTGGGTGACATGCAAAATCTGTAAAAATCACTTATAAGTGCACTTATATGCGGGGTAATAAGTAATTTTAGTAACTATATTTATATTAGTATTATGAGATTTAATCAAAATATATTATTTGTATTTATTTGTATTATTCTTATTTATTTTGTATTAAAGTTATCATATTGATTATGGTAATGTATTAATAATTTATTCTATTTCTCTATAAGACCTGACAGCACACCAATAGTCTGTACCGTAACTTTGACCCATGAACTGCTTTTAATAGAGATTACTATCTGTACTAAAAAGGATGTGTTTTGTGACAAAACAAGGTTTAATTACATGTAAGGTAAAAGTAATGTATGAGATTTAATGGTAAATGTTTACATTTATTGCATATAAAAAATTTAATTATAAAGTTTATTTTTAGTTTTATTATTTATTAGTTTTTTAATTAACTTTATAATTGACCAATTTGTTTCTCCGAATGCTAAAGTATGATAATAATTATATCGTTTGTTATAACATTAAACGCAATTATTAATAGTAATAATTATTACAATAACAAATTAATTGCTTCAAAAATAATAACAAATTAAAGCATTTCAGGAAAACAAGTTGTTTTCAAGAAACGGTTCAAAAATTAATTTTACCATGGTAACAGTTCAAAAAATTCCAATTTAAAAACAAAAGCCAGATAAATATAATAGATAAGATATTGTAGAAATTGAAAATAGCTTGTAATATTTATGTAGATTGTAAAATGTCTTTTCAACAGGTATTACGAATAGTGTTTAAAAATTTTATTTATATTTTTAATAAAATAATCTTTTTATTTAATCCCAAATTAAAGCAATTAATTAAATTCATTTATAATGACATTAAATTTGTATCAATATTTAAATTGATAGCAAAAATATTATCACTTTGTGTGCTTTCCTATGGGGCCATAGAGTTAACAATAGATTACTTCAGTTATCCCAATGTCTATAGCGTTAACGTAAAGCCGAGCAATGGTTTGCTTTTACCAGAGATTACTATCTGTACGGAAAGGGATGTGTTTTTTGATAAAACAAAGATTAATAATGAATTTGGTATAAACGATGATTTAAAAGTAAAAAGGTTTATAAAACTTAATATGAATAAAATGTGTAAAAGTAAACATGATAGATTAAAATATCCCTTTGTTTGCAAAAATCCCTCTTTTGGTGAAAATTATTATTTCAATCATTTTTATGATAAATATTTGCCGCAAATGTTTGCCAACTATTCGTTCAGTGATTTATTCAATCGATTCTCAATTAATGGCAACGAATTGATTAACTGTTCGGCAAAAGTGGGATTTTTGCAAACAAAGGGATATTTTAATCTATCATGTTTACTTTTACACATTTTATTCATATTAAGTTTTATAAACCTTTTTACTTTTAAATCATCGTTTANCTTTGGCGTTTGTTTTAAGTACTTCTCAAACGACGGAAATACTAATCACTTCTCTCTCATTGACGACCATTTCGTTGAGTTTCGCATCTCTTATGAAAAACAACACAATTTTCTTTTAACGGACACTCATTTGGATATTAAAAACGAGAAATACAATACAATAAATAGTTTTTCACGAAATATGAAAATCAGATCTTTTGATGAATATCTGGTATTATATGTATTCGTGGATCAAATGTCTAATCAATTGATGGCAACGAAAGAGACGGCACTTAAAATACCGAGTGTTGGCATTAATGCGAGGATTAATATTTACAACACTTATGTAAATCGATTGTCCACACCTTATATGCAATTCTGTCAAAATAATCAAGGTAATATTGATAAAATTTATAATTTTCCTATACCATTAAATTAAAAATATTTTATTTATAATAACACAAAATTTATAAAAATAGGATCTTATTCAAAGTGTTACTGGAATTGTATGTACAGAGTGTACAACAAAATATATAAATGTATACCAAATCCATATTTAAATCGGAATTTTATTCTACAAAATGTGAGACAAACAGAGTATGAATTCTGTAATAATTCTATAATTTTCAACAAATCGGTCGTTAATGATAACTATTGTAAAGATAGTTGTGTTAAGGATTGTCATCAGATTTACCACACCTTAGAGTTGGATAAAACAGAGTTTATGGGACTCACAGATAGTGTACTCAGAATTCAATACAAATCATATCAAGAATTTCATTATACAAGTGATAATAAATATTCATTTGTTAAGTATATGTCAGACATCGGTGGTCTGTTTGGGCTGTGGTTTGGGATAGCATTCATAGACACGAGTGCTTTGATTGCATTACTATTCTCTCGCATTAAACATATATTTCTATCCCTTATTAACAAACGGCTTATAATTATCTCACAAT